AGAAATGTATTGTGTTAAATAGTTGTACTTTTAATTTTACTTGAATGGTATAGAAACTTGTTTAATTTTAGTAAAAACTTGACAAAATTACTTTGGGCATAAAATTAATTTCTAACAGTTGGAATTATAAGTTTGAAAGTTTAGACTGTTTGCGCGTTTCATACAGATTCGATAATTATTGCGGTACCTACAGAAATATTTGAATAAATGGGAAAATTGTCTTCTGAACACCCTAAAACGAAAAAAAATAATCTGGTCACGGAGCTAAGTCTTACTATGGAGACTACAGTAATGCCGTGGATATTTCTTCTACAGATATATTTCTATAGAATTTGTAAAAAACATTTCTAACAAATTTGTAGTCTACAAAATTATGAATGCGTTTACGTTGGTAATTGAATTACCTAACTGAAATTTTGATTAAACGATTTCTGAAGTACTTTTTATTAAAGAATAAAAATAGCTCAGCGAAAGAAAATTAACCTTAACATAACCACATTAACATAAACATTGACAATAAAATATACATAAACATTTTAGACCTTATTAGAAATCATTTCAAATGATATTAGTAAATATACAAAACTCAGATACTCATTGTACTATTCCTCAAACAACAGTAAGATAAAAATTCATTCGAAGTTGTGACTCCAAAGCAATCCATCCAAAAACTTTCTTCACTAAACAAAATTATACTTTGGAGAATATTTCCTCTTGCTTGAAAAGTTTGTAGGCTAAGTATAATTATCATGAAGACCGCAGTTCAAGTCCCAAACTTTGTTAAGCCATAGACTTAATTCAAAACTTATAGCTATTAAGCCGTTAAGTTTTGACCAATCCTTCTGTAAGTCTATTATACACTTCCAAGCTTAACTCTATTTTATATATATATATATATTGTTGATGGTTTTGGTTTTATTTATACTTTCCATACTAAATCAATAAGTTTCCAGTACATTTATATATTATGGCCATTGTTTGACATAACGGTAATTATATGTATACTAGTGAATCCGTGCGGCTCAGTGAGCCGAGGAAAACGTTATGCTTAGATTCGAGTAGTTACATCTTAGAGTTGTTTAAACACTTGTTAGAAACTAATTTAAATATCTCTATTTACTTGCTACGTCAAGGCTCATCTACATTATTTCTGCTCTCAGTTTTAACTGATAACTTCTAATGAATGCTAAACGATCTGCGGAAAGAACATATAAAAACATCTGCGAAACAACAAGAAAACAATCAAACATCTGCGGTTATGTATATATAAAAAATGAACAAAAAAAGACAATTTACTTAAAAATATATAAATAGATAAATGATGAGGCGTATGTTAATTCGAGTTAACATGTTGCAACAAAGTTTTTCCAGCATTGATAATTGAAGAAAACTGTTACCTTACTTACAGATACTTACTTACTGTTACCTGTGTTAAGTAATTTAAGTTGGGTCATTTTGTTTCTTTGATTTGAGACTTCCCTCTTATCGAACGAATTTTCTCCGTAGAGAATCCTGAAAAGTGGGGTGATAGGCTATCTACCATTTCATGTGCTCCATTTTTTACCCACAAACTCTGGGCTACCTACTGGACAGCCATAATATGCTTTGAATAGGCTAAATCAGCAACACCAATGAAAGTTGTATAACGTATTTTAACGTGTTGTCTGTCAGTCACAGTATATGCCCCGCATCAGAACATTCTCACGTTGTTCAGTGGAGTTTCTCTTAATACCTGTCCCAAAGTTTTGAAAGTGTCGAAATTGGTCCATTCCTTTGTCGAAATAGGTTGGATAACTCTTGTTAAACCATAAGATTTGGATAGCAATTTTCATTTTCTCTGGTTGAACAGCGTATATTATTTGCCTCTCCTGAATCATAAAAATAAACTTGACCGTAACTACACGATCGTTGAATACATAAACACTAATTCCTTTACTTATGTTTGGTCTAATATTGCCACTAAAACTTTCAATAGTAAATTAGTTTTTGAAACTTCTTATTTATGACTTGAAATGTCTAGAATGTGTAGGTGAATTCAGTCAAAAAACTTTTTATAAGTTTGTCCGAGGAACTGGCAACATAACCTAGAAGTTAACAATTCATTTGCGTTTTTTCTCAATTGAAGTAGAGCGAGTAATACAAAAGTTTACAATAAAAACATAAGGTCCGCCAAGATTTGGTATAATCTTAACTACTTAACTTATCATAGTCAAGGCATTAATATAGTTTGTACTAAATGTTTTGAAATATCTCGATCCGTCAGTGTCAGAAGTAAACATTTCTTGCATGCATTCATTTGATCTGACATTAGGCAAGTTTACTTTACCACCATGACAACACTATGTGCTTCGAATATTTTTTTCACTTCCAAAGTAAGTTGCATAGCAGAACTGGCAAATATTATTCATCTCATCAAGTGAATGTGTGTCTGGATGGGTATCTGTTAGACCAGACCTCTCTTTTTCTACTCTCCTCAAGATATCTTATTATTATTTGTCTCCTCCTCCCGTTTTCAATATTTCTTCTTTGAACTTGAGGCATTTTCTGTTCTTCCAACAAAACTGATTAACTGTTTAACTTGGTCTTATTCTTGAATATTACAAACATTAATATTTACTCCCAAAAAGCCAATGAGTTTCTTTTTATAAACAGCTGTTTTTTGTTTTTAAATTTGTTCTATGTATTTCTTATGGGGAAAACCCGACCTTTGAGAGGGTCTCACGCCCTTAAGAGTAGAAATTTTAAAATTCTAAACCTTATTGCAAAACTACATATTGAGACGAATTTTTTGACACCTTAAACGTTAAAATTGGTCTACAAATAAGGGAGGAGTTGCGTTAACAAAAAACGGCTTCACGTATTATATATATAGATAGATAGATAGATAGACTAGGGGCCCTTAGCAGCAATTGCTGCCCTTCACCTCCGTTGTAATTTGGCATTAACCATACACTATGCTGTGCACCATTCCTAAATACTGTCCTTCGTAGTCGAGGTTTCCCTTAACACGATCAACACTGCATTACCATTCTAACCTAAAACAGAACAATAAACCAACAAATACGCAATGTTTACATCAGCTGGTATATTTAAAACAGCTTATAGAAACACTGTAGCAGTAATTCCATTAGAACATGACTGGATCTTTGATGGCCTGTGGGGCAGAGCAGGGGCAATTTTTTACACTTCTGGTATTTTTTCCACTGTCCTTGAACCTTAAGCTTTAAAATGAATCCTCAACAGCCATGCTACTTTTTTCCTAGCTCGAGATATTTAGTGGGAACCATTTGGCTTAGTAGGCCTACACGTTTTATCTTAAAACATATTACGGAATTAAATATATAGATAGAAGATAGATTATACGCCTTATATAATTATATAATACAACTAATATTTTTCGGGAAGGTTCTTTTTGTTCTTCAAGAAATGATGGTAGGCATAGTATGATTTTAACTGATTCTAGCAATAATCTTCTCTTCTAGCGATACTCTTACTATATTGAACTCACATAAAAGCTTTGAGTTTGAACATACACACGCAAAAACTCCTCTGTATTATAACAGAAACTGTATGGATCATAATATACACACAAACATACACATTCGGGGGTATGTCACTGACCCGAAAGCAGACATAGTTTTATTAATATTTCAATTTATTTTAATTTTCGTGGTACTACATAATCATTTTCAGCTTAGTCTTATAACCTTTAGTATTCATTTACGACACTTAACTAGTTTAAAGTTATAATACTCCCGCCGCAGCAAACCTGTGCACTAAGCGAATTTCGATCTGCCTGAATTGATTTTCAATTAAATTTATTTAATAAACATTGGTTTTAACTAGTACCTATGTTTGCCGCTACAGGGAAACTAATAAAGTGTGTTTTTTAGTAAAATATTAATATATAAGTATAAAATAAATAAATTTACCAAGTTCTATCAAAATAAATCGATAAACTAGCAAACTACAACATTTTACAACATTCTCATAGGAATTTAATTTTTTTTTTTTTATATATTCTCCGGTACCGATACACGTTGATATCCTAAATTATTTTCTTTTTTAGGCTCTTTAAAAAGGTATAGAAAGAAATTAGAAATTTTGTGTTTTGAGGGTCAAAAATTAGAAAAACCAATTTTTACCCCAAAAGACCTCCCTAAAACCCCGTACTTCCCTAGCTTGAAGGTGTAGGGAGGGATAAATTTGAAAGATTTCATGAACCATTGTGATCAGACTGTGGGACTGTATTGGGGGTAAAAATTGGTATTTCTAATTTTGACCTTAAAAACAAAAAATTACCAATTTCTCTTTAAATCTTAAAGAGCTTAAAAAAAATCAATACATTGTTTTTTACGGTTATTGGTTACATAGAAAATTTAAAATTAAAAAATTTAAAAATATACATAGCCAAATATTATTACGGAGAACAAGTGCCGTAAATTGGTGTAGTTTGCGTATTTATGGATATATTTTGTTCAAACCTGGCAAATTTATTTATTTTATACTAATCTATTTTATACTAGCTATATTTTAATCAAACACACTTTATTACCCTCCCTTGAGCAGCAAACCTGGGTACTTGTTAAACCTAAAGTTATTTAAATAAATTTATGTAAACATCCAATCGGTCAAATGGAAATTCGCTTAGTCTGCGGGTTTCCTGTGGCAGGGTTAATAATAATGGTTCAAAACTAGACCCAGCCATCCTCGATAATTGATTGTGCCACTAATTAATGGTCCTGGCTAAAGAACAATATTATCTCACCAAGAAACATAGTCATCTCACTTCATTCAACAGGCACCCTACTATTTGTATATATTCAGTTTAGAAAACATACACAAATTCTCAATGAAGTCATTACGATATTTCAGTTTCATAATAAATTCCCTAAAACGTATATTTAAATGAGGCAACCATCTAAATATACCTAAGTACCAATTCTGCAATAGTATTCTCGTCGGCGTGTAGCTGGTTGTAGGGCATTATTTATACGAGTAGATTGAGCAAGAGTCACATACCCGGTGTCGGTGCCAGCGGCTAGTCATTAGCTCCTGTCTATACTAGCCTCTCCTTGACACACCATGCCGCCTAAACTGGCCGTCCCTGCACCCAAGAAAGCGGCGAGTGTCTCCAGGAGCGAGAGTAGCTCATCAGTCACCTCTTCTGGGTCAGAGGCGTCCTCCGCTAATTCTAAACTTGTAAGTAAAACTTCCATATGCTAGAGAAGAGTATGGTAGAGAAGTATAAGAAAGAATATGCCGTGTCCTAAAACTGAACAGGGAGTTCGATGACGTAAAATTAACTCTTCAAAGAATTTAGAGTCAAGAAGTTTTCTAGTTAGAGGCTACGACCTCCGCTAACTCTAAAATATTAAATAAACCGTATTATAGTGGGATGCACACCAATATGGTAATATGGAAAAGTGGTAATAAGGTAGAAGAGAAAGAAGGTGGTCGTGTCTCAACTTTTCGAAAACAAGTCAAATCAACTTTAGAGTTTTGAGTTCAGAGATGTTATCTAATCAGGTTAAAGGTTCACCTCCTCTATAAATAAAACGTCTTGTGTACAGTTGTTATAGAAAAGTGGTAGAAAGGTAGTAGAGAAATAATCTGTCATGTTCCAAAGCTGAATTGTTGTTTATATGATTTCGAAAACACTAAAAGTACAATGAAGTAGATACTTCATAACCATTTTAATGTTTTAGCCGGGTTTAAAATATTACGTGCAAACAATTTTGATTATCTGGCAGAGTAGATCTCTTTGACCATCGATAGAACTAACTTTTCTGTTTCCATTAGTAGTCAGTTTTAGAATCAAAACGTACATATTGAAAAATTAGGAAATTCTGTGTTTTTAGAGGAAAATTAGAAAACCCCATTTTTACTACGTAAACCCCCGCTCCCATGGTCCAAAGATTCTGGTCCGTGAACTCGTTTGAATAAACGTAGGATTACAGGTTTGTTCAGCACTTCGTCAAAATTGAATTATTTTTGCTCGCGTTATCGTTCTAACCACGGTCGCATTTAACTCCAGGCCGCGGCCTTCGAAGTGGCAACGTCGCAAGTAGGGGTTGTAACCACTGTTTTGTTTGGAAGCAGCTAATGGCATTTGTGTATTTACGAAAGCTTGGTTACTGGACTATGAAAATATTGACTCCACTTTAAATATACAGATATTAGATTTTCAATTCATATTGTTTTGGCTTTCAATTTTGTATGTTTTATTTTAAATGTTTTAATAAATTTATGTTCATAAATTTAAATTTAAATCAATAAAGTGGGAATTAATGAGCTGATGTCACATGTCTGCCATGTTATCTTATGAGATGTCTGACACTAAACAACCCTACTTGCGACGTTGCCAATTCTACCAGACGGCCGTGGCTCTAACGAACACACACACACACACGCACGCACGCACTCACACACACACATATATATATTCTGTATAGAAAAGACGTTTAATCTAAGTGACAAAATTGAACTTTTGAATACAGTGCTCTCTTTCTAAATATTAAATATACTGGTAATATATACTAATTGAATGAGCGGAGCTTATGCAAACTATGTAATCAAATAACTCAATAACGGCTGAACATATTAAAGCCAAACATTCCAGGGTTATTTTGACAAAAAGTGAGCATGTTATTACAAAAAAAATTCAATATGATAATGTCCGAACAAATTAAAACTAATCGAACATTTTTATCATTGACCTAATGGGTTGGTATGATGGTTACCAATTAACAAAACAACGTAAACGTAAATAAAGAAAGACTATTTGTTTTACAAAGTTTTATTTATAATCTGTTTTAAATTAAACAATAAGTAAATATGATGACATTTATATAAATAAAATAAAAATTGGAAAACATGAGTTAGCAGCTAAACAGATTTAGCCCTAACAAAAAAAAGCAAAGAAAATAAATTTCAAAGCTGTTGTACAAATCTTGTCGGAAGGTCTAAAAAAATTTATATTTTTAGTCTGTAGACATGTTGACTGTTGTCTAGGAGGTTGAGGGCCAAATGGTTCGGATGATACTCAAGCTTTGAGATGTATTTTATACTGCAGCTCGTAACTTCTTCAGTAACAAATGGCATTTTGCAATCACTGTGAATGGTGACATTGGATACAAACCAAGGGGTTTTTAGGACGGTTCTTATTAATTTTGACTGAAATTTTTGTAATATATCCAAGTTTGATTTTGAAGCTGTTCCCCACAAAGAAATTAAAAATGTCCAAATAGGTTTGAGGACAGCCTTGTAAAGCAATAATTTATTTTCAATTGAAAGTTTTGAATTTTTATTCATGAGCCAGGCTATTTGTCGAAACTTTGAATTTAGATGTTGCCGTTTGTTCCAAATATGGCTTCGCTAGGTAAGTTTTCTGTCGAGGTGGATGCCAAAATATTTTACTTTATCGCGGTAAGGCGGAAGTGCGTGGACTGGGGGGCAGTTAGCTGTTCTGGCGGTGAAAGTTATGTGTGCAGACTTGCTTTCATTCACTTTGATTCTCCATTTTTGTAGCCACGTGGAAAGACTGTTTAGGCTATCTTGTAGTTTTTAAGAAACTAAAAATGAGTATTCATGGGATGTAAGGAGTGCTGTGTCGTCTGCAAATGTGGATAAAAATAAATTTGGATTTTCGGGTATGTCTGACATATATATGAGACTAGCTGTACCCGCGGGCTTCGCCCCGTTTAACTTCATAAGTGAGCTTGTTCGCATGGCTCAATCACGTCCTGGTTGAAGTTCGTTCGCTACGCTCACTCACTTTTAGGTTGGAGCTCGTTCGCTGCGCTCACTTGCCTTCAGGTTAGCTCGTTCGCTACGCTAACTCGCCTCCAGGTTGAAGTTCGTTCGCTACGCTCACTCACCTTTTGGTTGCAAATTAGCTGTTGTCATAAAATTAAAAAAAATAATAGTGCTGCACCCTGTTGGTAATCCTTGTAACTTTAATGCTATTGAACATCATAGAACAGAACCAACATGTTTAATTGAAACAGCTGTTAAGATTCATTAATTCCATTTAAATATGAGTACTCATAAGGTTAACATGGGAAACTCCAGAGCCACTGGGGCGGAGCCCGAGAGTCCGATCAGAATAAAAACAACTTAGTTTTCCTATTTAATGCCTAAAGAATCAGTGTACCAAATTTCAGCCTCCTAGGTAAATGGGAAGTGGGAGAATTAGTGATGAGTGAGTGAGTCAGTGAGGGCTTTGCCTTTTATATATATAGATATAGAATTGGCCCCAGGAAGCTTCCCTGTGGTACACCTGACTCTGTTTGGTATAGCTTGGTGTAAATTCCTTGGTGTTTTATTATAAATTGTCTGTTTTCCAGGTAAGATTTCAACAATATAAAATAGTTATGAGGGAGAGAACGTTTAATTTTGAATAAAAGTCCAGGATGCCACAATTTATCAAAGCCTTTGCTTACATCAAGAAACGCTAATGACATTTGATTATGACAAACCATCTACAGTTATCTAGCAATTTACAAAATACAGTACAAAAGAGAAAAGTCCGATTAATACCATTGATCATTGATTACTACTCTTAGGTTGTATTACTGAGCAATAATATATATTATATGAATGTTTAAATGTTGTTTTACCTTTGACGGAAAATATTTTCTCTCTGGATTCTCAGAATGATTCATGTTATAAATGTTTGAGTGCGCCGATGTCGACTAAATGTTTTTTTATGTACATAACAAATAATATTGATTCATACAAATAGGAATAAAAAAAAACTATTTTAAACAGCTGCTTTAACAAGCAAATTCAGAACAATAATTAAAATCAACATTATAGAACGGGCATAAAAATTAAACAAGCGATACAAAATGTTGTGCTAATCTTTAGTTTGTCATTTGTCATAGAACCGATGCAAGAATGATTTATCGCCTCGGAATCAGCAAAAATTAGTAGTATAGACGTTATAAATTTAGTCTGTATTTTGACAACCTTACAATATTGAGATCAAATTTTGAAAATAGGTAGAGAGCTTGGAAATAATTTTGTCTTACAGTCACCCGACAAAGTTGGCTTCCTTGTACTGTTTATAGTACAGTACCTGGAGACCGAACTTTGCTCGGGGAAAATCATTCCCCCACTCTGCGATGCCAGCCTTTACTACTTCCTTCACCATTTCCTACGTTATTGTTTCCCTCCCTTCTCATAGCATTTAAGTATTAGAGATGCATTAATCTAACTGCCACAAACGGTTCCTACACTCTGCGATGCTAAACTTTACTACTTCCTACGTCGTGGACATGTTGTCATCTCTTTCCTTTGTATTTTAGTATTTTAAATACATTAATCTAATTGCCAACAACATTTCCCACACTCCGCACTGCTAGCATTTACTAATTCCTATGTCTTGGACATCTTTCCATCCCATCTCATAGCATTTCAGTATTTCACTTTCAGATACAGAAATCGAACTGTTACAATTGGTTTCCAGTTCCCAGACTCCACAGTGCTCGCCTTTACTACTTCATTCACCTCTTCCTACGTCGCGGACCTGTTTCCCTCCCTTCCCATTGCATTTTAAGATTGCAGATACCTTAATCTAATCCTTATAAACATTTCCCACACTCCGGACTGCTCGCCTTGACTACTTCCTTTACCACTTCCTACGTTTCGGACCTGTTTTCCTACCTTCCCATAGCATTTTAAGATTGTAAATACCTTAATCTAATCGTCGTTAACAGTTCCCACACTCCGGACTACTCGCCTTTACTACTTCCTTCGCCACTTCCTACGCCGCGGACCTGTTTCCCTCCCTTCCCATTGCATTTTAAGATTGCAGATACCTTAATCTAATCGTTATTAACAGTTCCCACACTCTTGACTACTCGCCTTTACTACTTCCTTCACCACTTCCTGCGCCGCGGACCTGTTTCCCTCCCTTCCCATAGCATTTTAGAATTGTAGATACCTTAATCTAATCGTCATAAACAGTTCCCACACTCCGGACTACTCACCTTTACTACTTCCTTCACCGCTTCCTTCGTCGCGGACCATGTTTCCCTCCCTTCCCATAGCATTTTAGGATAACAGATACCTTAATCTAATCGTCATTAATAGTTCCCACACTCCGGACTACTCGCATTTACTACTTCCTTCACCACTTCCTACGCCGCGGACCTGTTTTCCTCCCTTCCCATAGCATTTTAGGATTGTAGATACCT